AAAAGAACAACAGTGGCTGTGATCTGTCTCCACCACCACCCAAAAAGCCTTCTGAGTCATGGCTTTTCAGTAATCTGCCTTCAGTAAGCTCGAAGATCCCTTCACGGAGATACCTGTTTCATCCCCAAAAAAAGAATGTAGAAGAAAACTCCATAAGTATTACCAAGTGGGAAACTATAGTCAAGACTTCTTATACACACAGAGATCACATACGCTATTCTGAAGTAAGCATCTCAAGTTTTCCCTGGAAGATAAGGAAACACAATGAGGCGATTATGCAAACCCGTCTTTGATCTTTGCTATATCTTTTGCAGGAACTAGTTGCTCGTTCATCCTGCCAATCAAAAACTTAGCGGTTTGAAGCTTCCCTTGGGATGGATCATCACAGTGAATTACAACTTCATTGGCGTAAGAAAACCGCAGTTTCTTTTGTGACCCTTAGAATACTTAACTCGTAATCCCTCAGATTGATTTACATGTGTAGCTATACTGCCATATCTGTGTGTTGCCTACTTAGCTAATAAGAAGAACATTTGTTCCCAGTAAATGCTATGTTCATATTTCTATCTATACCCAATTCAAACCCAATTAACTGTTCGAGGTTTTTTCAAGCTAAACTGTTTCCATTCAGGTGAAGGTTACCAAGACAACAAAGGCAGTAAAGTCTACAGTTAACATTTACACATTTCAATTTATCATATAGTCTCTCTGATGAAGCAGAAAAATGTGTTAGCTTAGGCCTTAGGATGAACAAGACAGTGTTATATGGGAAGGCCGAGAAAGAATTTCATTAAGCTCGTCTCGTTTTTAGAGATACATGTACAACATATTAGCAATAAACGAAAAACTAGCCTTATAATCGCCAGCAAAAACCGTATAACTGCCTTAGTAGATGTCACTCTTAATTTCTTTTCTTCTCTGATCTTCCTATCACTCTCATTACAACTCTCACTTTCACATATATACACAAAACAATTTAATGGTATAGTAACAAAGAATGTTAATATTCGTTTCTATGATACCTTCTCTTGTTATGTCTTCTTCTCTCGACCTTCCTGTTTTCTTAACTTCGTCACTTTTCAATTTCAGGTGGCAAACACATTGCTTCTTCAACTTCATCTGCTTGGTAATGCATCAGTTTCTCCAGCTGTGGTCTAAGTTCCTTGTTGCAAAACTCTTCATACTCTTCTATATTCCCTCCTTTCTTCTTCACTTCAACCACCACAAGAGATGGCGTCAGCTCAAAGATCTCAACTCTAATTGTCAACGGTCCTTTAGCACCTTCTCTACAACCTTCTAGCCTCACGCTCCAATCCTTCTTCCTCACTGTAAAGTTTACCTCTTTCGCAATCTCTTCCAGTTTCGATATGATCTTTTTCACAGGAGCAGCAGATACAAACCTTGCTCCTTGTCCACCTTCTTCAAACAAACCCGAAAGATCCAAACTCGAAGAGAACGATATGATGTCAAATGCGTTTAGACTGGCGGGTCTCGGCATTGAATCAACCCTTTTAATATCAAACTCTACATCTCCTTCTGAAGCAGTCGATGATCGGCCTGATGACAATGATGAAGAATCGTCTTCATCATTGTCATCATCCTCCCTACACAACTTATCGTTTTCGATATAGAATTTGACATGTTTGAACCCTTTCTTGAACCATCTATGCTTCATGATCTCCGGTATTGTGATTCGGGTATCCGGATTCGTGTCTAGCATCCGGGTCACAAGCCTTGCGAGCTCAGGAGCAAACCATTTAGGACATTTAAACTGCCCTTTATATATCTTCTTGTACATAACCAATATGTTCTTGTCATCAAATGGAAGATAACCAGCCATCAACACAAACAAGATCACTCCACAAGACCAAATATCGGCCTTGGCACCATCATACCCTTTCCTTGTCAAAACCTCAGGCGCCAGATAAGCCGGCGTCCCGCAAAACGTTTGACAGATTCCGTCTTGCTTGAGCTGCTCCGAGACAACGCTGAGCCCAAAGTCAGAGACTTTAACGTTTCCCATATCGTCCAAAAGCAGATTCTCAAGCTTGAGATCGCGGTGGTAAACACCGCGGCTGTGGCAGAAAGCAACGGCTGAGATCAACTGCTGGAAATATCTCCTCGCGGTTCCTTCTCGAAGCCGGCCTCTAGCCACCGTATTATAAAGCTCTCCGCCTCGTACGTACTCCATCACAATGTAAATCTTTGTCTTCGTAGCCATAACCTCGAGTAGGTGGACAATGTAAGGGTGGCGGACACGTCGGAGGATAGAGATCTCCCGTTTTATATGACCGGCCATTCCGCTCTTCACGATCTTCTCCTTGTCAATGACTTTGATGGCAACATCCTCGCCGGAATTAATGTTCTTGGCTAGATAGACTTTAGCGAAGCTTCCGTGACCGAGAAGTTTTCCTAGCTCGTACTTGTCCATGAGAATAGAGCCTTGTGAAGTCTGCGGACTCCTCGGGCTCTCTGGAGTACTGATCTCTTTGCTCGTGTCTTTAGTAATGATTCGACCGAGAAGACCCGCCATGAATTGCATTGGCGTTGGGCCGGTGATAGCCATTGGTGGAGATAGAACTTGTGCCATCGGTAGGCTGAGACTTTTCTTTTGCTTTTCTATATGTAACTGTCTGTTGATTCCGACACGGTTTTACCGGAAAACGAACCAAAACAAGAAAATGAAATGAAGAAACGAACGAAAATAAGATATGGTGGGGTTGTTGTTTCCGTTGTAATGTTGTCTTAACTTGGCCTTTTCGTATCCGTTTTATAACAGTTTTCGAGTTGACATTATCTTATGTTCGATAAGCTGAAAAGTCATTTGATTTTAAAATATTGCTATTTGATGTTGAAGTTTTATCCTAATCCAAATATTTTGCCAGCAGAATAACACGTTGGACAGATTTTCATATTATTAAAGGGAAACTTATATGTTTTATCCAATACGCAAAGTCAACTTTATAATTCATCTGAGTATCTTAAAGGACAGATAATAAGATTGACTTATCAAACACCACTGAGGCTGATAGATAAGCAGATCATGGTTCGTTAAGATGTCGTCACACATTTTTATTTATATATGTTTCCCTCAGCAAATATAGGTTTATGTGGTAATTGAGTATAATAGTGTTAAGAAGATATGTAGAGTACTGGTATTTGTGCGCACCACGTGTTTTGCTGAGTCGGTGCTTACGGTACGTTGTGGACTTCACGTAGCCGACCAAAACCAATGGCTACAAATTTAAGACTCCCAAGAGTGGTTATATTCTTACTTTTATTTCGATCAAAGTTTTTCAATTAGATTATATTCCTACTTCCAAAACCCGTTTTCTGTATTTTAATTTGGATTTCGAGATGATTAATCTTGAGTGCAACATTATCATCTGGAACTCTATTCTGAAAATTGTGAGGATGGAGGTAAATACTCAATTAAATTTAGATCATTTGTGTAAAAGCAATAACATTCAAACAGATTAGACTACTGTTATTGATTTTACACAAATGATCTAAATTTATTATTGTAATTTAGGGCCTGATTGGCAAGTGCTTTAGAGTTTTTACAAAGCAAAAAAATTTCTAAAGATTTGAAATACATCCAATCAAGTTTTAGAAGCTTTGGTTTTCTTTTTTTTTCTCTTTACACAAATGATATTTCCTTAATTCATTTTTTTGGCTGTAGAAAACCTTTTTTCCTAAAGCACATAATTTTCAACTTTCCAAAATTTTAAATTCTACAGCCAAAATACTACAGCAATAAAATCTACAGCCACAACAAATAAACCTACAGTCATATTTCTACATCAAAAAATGTAAAGCTACAGCTGTTACCAATCAGGCCCTTATTCATTTTTAATGCATACAAATTTACAACTCTCAAAAAAAAAAAAAAATCCTATCTCAGAAATATATCCAGAAAAGGTTATGCTAAAATGCGAGCACGATGGATTTTTAATCCTCTTTCGTAAATTTTGTTTTAGTAGTATTGTATAAAGAAATGTATAAACTAATACAAAACCTGCTGTCAAAAAAGAAAGAAAAAGAACTAATGCCTATAAGAAAAGAAGATCGATGTGAAGACCACTTTAAGATATTACATTTGTTTGGATAATGTTTTTCTTTGTGTATTACGTTAATAAATTAAAAATATTATCTGAAAAAAGTATTTCAAAATTCGTAATAGTTGCGAAAAAACAAATATGATGTGTAATGAAGAATGAGTAATGTAATATTACAAAAAAAACATAGCCTTTTCTTACCAAATTTCCTACCAAATATTTGATAGGAATAATTTCCTTCCAAATTCCTACGCTGTATTTCTTGTCATTAATGAAGAAATGAGTAAGTTCCTTTATTGTTGGTCAAAAATGATATCCTCAAAGAGAGAAGGTCAATGAGTTGTTTAAGTCACGGCACAAAACACAATGATCTGTATCCGAGTCTGATAAGAGATTTCAATACATTGAACATTTCATGACCTAAGAGTTGAGTACCAAATTAGTTTACATTTACATATGCATGAAAAGCTATTGTCTAACTAAAAGAAAAGAGTTGTATCATACAAATTATTCTGATATTTTTTACTTTGTGTGTTGATAGCTGATATCAGAAAAAGGATGGAGATGTTGATCCAATAGCCGTCAATTGTTAGGACTTAGGACCCGGTCACAAAAAAAAAAACTAGAACATGAGTATTGAGTAATAAATACATAAGCAATAAGGCAGCCAAAAAATCATCACAATTATCAATTATCACTAATTTCACATCTAACAAGAAAATATACTAGTTTGAGATTCCTTATTGTTGTGGTAATCAGCTAATAATAGCGCAATTGTTCATGGTATTCACCATGCATGCACCACATGTTGTCAACAAAATGCCAAAAAGACTAATCACAAGTCTAATGGGCTTTTTACAAAAAGAAGTCTAATGGGCTCACAAACATACTGATAGCTTTACATAACTCGTTGGAGGAATTTAGTTAAATCGTCGGAAATTTAAATTAGCTCACTGGACGAAAGAGATGGAGACGAAGACAGAGAGGCACTTTCTGGTTTCGAATTTTGTGACCGCCGGTGGTGAAGTTTCGAGTGCGACGGAGAATTAGCGAGACCTATTCGGCGAGTCGGATGATACATCATCTGGGGAATGCTATGTACTGAGAGAGAAGTGGTCGGAGGAACTCAAACTTAGTCCTCTTTTGCTTTCCATGTTTCAAATCGCTCAGCTAGATTGCTGTTCTCGGTTTGTTGAAATTGGCTTAAATTATCCATCTAGGGTTTTACTGTGAAGAATTATATTGAGCCCTTTTATGTATTCCTCTGCACTGCTGCTTTGTCTTTGCAATTTTCTTATAGAAAAGGACAATTCTTTTGTTCTGGTTTCAATGCACAAGTGTCTAGATTCTTGTTGCATGATGTGATATTTGATCAGATTAGGTCTTGATTCAGTTTGACCCTCTCGAGTGGGACTTCTGCACCGCACATCAATCTGCATGTTGTTCAGGATTTCATCTTTATTGGTGTATAAATGGCAGAGAATGACAAGAAAAGGAGGAAACAAGAATGCAGGACAAACCAAAAGCTCCACTTTCTCTCTGCTGGTTTCTCAACCATTCTTAAGCCTGCACACCCATTTCAGGTGTGCGCTAGTTACTTCCATAGAGAAATGAATGTACCCTTTTTTTGCAAAATTTGATCGGTATTGGGAATATATCAAATTTTACAGGACATCTAGGTTTAACCAATTGTGGAATTTGAAGTGGGATAGGACATCTGTGGCTTGCGATGGCATACTAAACAAGAAACTGAAGTGGGATAAGGTTTTTTTTATCACAAAAATGTCCTGAGGTATGTAAAACGAGATTATGGATAGATTCTTGCATAATTAAGTTGTTTCTTTTTGTGGTGTTTGCCTTAAATCAGGTATAGGGTGACATGAAGAATCCTCTCCCAGCTGGTACTCAAGATCTTCTATCTTCAATCTGGTCTAATGCAGCTATTCAATCAGATGCCATTGCTGATTCTGGATCCGGTGTAAGTCCCATTTTCTCTGTCTCCGTTCAAAAATAAGTATTTTTTTGGTACCACTTATAGTAATTGACAAGTGTTCATAGTAGTTATCTCGAAGCTGTTTCTTGTCCATGTCAGTTACGAAATAGCATCGGTTCTTTGTGTTTACGGACATCTGAACCGATAGCCGAATATTTCTTTATTCCATGTGTTTAGGGTTTTGGCTTAAAAACACCTTAAACGTCAGCTTGTGAACTTAGAAGCCATTTACTATTTCTTCCCCTTTCCAGTGTGAGATATTGAGTGATAGTTAGTGACTTAGTGATATTTAGACATTTTGCTTCCAATGTGGGATCTTATCACAATCATGTGTTACTTTTGAATCACAGAGGAAAGAGGCAGGACATGAGCAAGTCAATTCCTTTTTACACAATCGACCACAGCCGTGAAACGGTACCGTTTTTGGATCTTGTATAGCAGTCAACAGGTAAAAGAGACCAGAGAGGTATGTCTGTTAAACAAAAGCATTGTTAATTTTTTTGTATTGTTTATGTCCTAAATCCAAATATGTGACCTCATTTTGGTCCTTCTTGGGTCGCACGTGGGTGTCCCAGTTAGCTACTCTTTTTACATCTGCACTGTATTGGACCCATCTCTTGGCTCCATGTTATTTATTATTTTTATTTTTTTTGCCCAATGTCATTATTATTCAGAACCAAAGATAAATTTTTTTAATAAAATGAAAAATTTCAAAGTGAAAAAGAAAAGAAAGTAAAGCAAAAGAGATGTTAAGTTATTGGTTCATTTTTCTTTTCGAAACAAGTTATTTTCACACAATCATAACGTTTTCTTTTACCTCTTTACTTAGTTTTGCTTTCATTATGGTCTAGTCTTCTTAATCGATCATCAAATATATTATCCTAACTTTTTTTCTTGACTTTTGTATATGAGAATGAGTCATACACATGACTAGGTAGAAAACACATTTGACATTATAAAAATGAATAATGGACGTGAAAACTGAAAAGAAGAAGAATTGGGAACACTAAATAGATAAATCAAACACTTGGCTACTATAAGAATCCTTGCCTCTATTTTTTCTGTGTCCTTTAATTAAAGAGTAACTAAATTCAAGAAGCTTGAAGGAAGAGAAGACATGCACTGCACAAAACGTAACTAATGCATTAAATTTTCTGATGTGTAAAGTTAGAAAAAGCATTATTTACCAGCAAAACAGTGTAACGGTAGTATTCGGTTTTTGGCAGTTCCTTAAGGGGCATTTCCGGTACCTAATTAAAATTCTAACGGTCCTTTTTCTCAATTTTTCACTATCTCATTCATACATATAAATGAATAAATTTCCTTAGCCATCACCATCTCCACCACTACCAAAAAGCTCTCTTCTAACTCAGCTGCAACTTCGAAAAAGAGAAGCTTTTTTCACTTTGCCTTGTCCTCATTTTTTTCTCTTTCACACACCTTTTCTTTTTTATTTAAACCACTCAGTTCTTGTTTTCTCAGTCATTTCTCTGGTTCAATCAGATCCTTTTAGTTTTCCTGATTCTTTAGCTGATTCATGAGCTCATAAGAAGAAGATTTGTGTTGAGTGTTGACCCAGAAAGAAAAAGAAAGACTTTTGAAACAAATCCATACTCTAGAATCATGGATCCTGTAAAGCCAGAGGAGATAAGTCACCCACCAATGGATCAGCTTCAGGGTTTAGAGTATTGTATTGACTCAAACCCTCCATGGGGTACTAGCCTTGAAACCATTCTCTGTCATTGATTGGTTGACTTTTCACTTTCCTGAATCTTGATGATGATCTTATTGCAGGAGAAGCCATAGCTTTAGGTTTCGAGCATTACATTTTGGCTTTAGGAACTGCAGTGATGATACCTTCATTTCTTATTCCTATGATGGGAGGAGATGATGTGAGCATTATTTCTTACATTCTGAATTGTTTCTTAATTTTAAAGAATCACTCTGTGAGTTTTGCTTGACTGATTGAGATTTGATGTCCCTCCCAAAAACAATTGATCAGGGTGATAAAGTGAGAGTTGTTCAGACACTACTGTTCCTTCAAGGTGTTAACACTCTTCTTCAAACATTATTTGGAACTCGTCTTCCAACTGTCATTGGAGGCTCTTATGCATTCATTGTTCCCATCATTTCAATCATCCATGACTCTTCTTTGACCCGTATCGAAGATCCACAATTGGTATGTTTGTTCTTCTCTTTGAATAGTATTCTGACGATCCTAAGTCCATACTAATTTGAATCTGAAATTAAGTAGAGATTTCTAAGTACAATGAGAGCGGTACAAGGCGCGATCATCGTTGCATCCAGCGTTCAAATCATCCTCGGTTTCAGCCAAATGTGGGCTATCTGTTCAAGGTACATATACATACATATTTCAGTACTTGTTATCATATAAAGGTATATAGACTTTAACGAGTTTTCATTCTTAATTTTTTTCAGATTCTTTAGTCCTATTGGTATGGTTCCTGTTATTGCATTAACAGGTTTTGGACTCTTCAACAGAGGATTTCCAGTGGTACATTACTGCGATTTCTCTCTTAAAACATCCAACAATCATCCATTCGTTCTTATTTTTAAAATGTTTGTGTTGTTTGCAGGTTGGTAATTGTATTGAGATAGGACTCCCCATGCTTATCCTCTTTGTCATCTTCTCTCAGGTTATTTTCCTTTAAGATCCAATTCTCTCTGATTCCGAATATGTTCCTTTTAACCGATGTTATAATCTTTATGTTCTTGTGCAGTATCTGAAGAACTTTCAGTTCAGGCAATTCCCAGTAGTCGAGAGGTTCGCTCTTATTATAGCGCTAATCGTGGTGTGGGCTTACGCGCATGTCTTGACAGCGAGTGGGGCTTACAAACACCGACCACACCAGACACAAGTAAACTGCAGAACGGATATGTCTAACCTCATTTCTTCTGCTCCTTGGTTAGTTAATATTCTCTAAATGTGTATAATTAAAAACACATTCAGTAGTTGATAGTGTTTCATATATATGCTTCTCTTGACTTCTTTTAGGATCAAGATTCCTTATCCACTTCAATGGGGAGCACCTAGCTTTGATGCTGGTCATGCTTTCGCTATGATGGCCGCTGTTCTAGTCTCACTCATTGAGGTAATGTTTCTCTGAATCAAGATTAGTACTCTAGTCACAGGCTCACAGCATAGAATATCTCAAACGAAGTATATTTTGAATCTGAATGTTCTGAAAGAAGAATCTTTTGAATGTGATTAGTCAACTGGAGCTTTCAAAGCTGCTGCACGACTGGCTAGCGCTACGCCTCCTCCACCTCATGTTCTTAGCCGTGGAATTGGCTGGCAAGGCATTGGGATCCTCTTAAACGGTTTATTTGGAACACTAAGCGGTTCAAGCGTCTCTGTGTAAGTGGAATTGTGAATTATTTTTTTTGTCCAATAGTTGGACCAGTTAGTCTCATTGATTTCTTGATTCTTACAAATTCTGCAGAGAGAACATTGGATTACTAGGAAGCACCCGAGTTGGAAGCCGCAGAGTTATCCAAATCTCAGCAGGATTTATGATATTCTTCTCAATGCTAGGCAAATTTGGGGCATTGTTCGCTTCAATACCTTTCACAATATTTGCAGCCGTGTACTGTGTCTTGTTTGGTCTTGTTGCTTCAATTGGACTCTCTTTTCTGCAATTCACAAACATGAACTCCCTCAGAAACCTCTTCATCGTCGGTGTGTCTCTCTTCTTAGGATTATCGATTCCCGAATACTTCAGAGACTTCAGCATGAAAGCATTACACGGTCCAGCTCACACCAATGCTGGTTGGTTCAATGATTTCTTGAACACAATCTTCTTATCTTCACCAATGGTCGCACTGATGGTGGCAGTGTTCTTGGACAATACTCTGGACTATAAAGAGACCGCGAGAGATCGAGGATTGCCTTGGTGGGCTAAGTTTAGAACTTTCAAAGGAGATAGCAGGAATGAGGAATTCTACACTCTCCCTTTCAACCTCAATCGTTTTTTCCCTCCTTCATAGAAAGTTTTACTCTACGTTTGACTCAGTATTCTTGTTGTTTGTGTGTGACTTATCATCACCCAATTTTTATGTAATCTAGAAGAATCATTCTTTTTTTTTTTTTTAATCTAATGGATCACCACCACCCATTAGGATTATTAGCATAAAAGATCATATTTTGGAGCATTTCAATATCAAACACTTCCTACTCTTAAGGGTCTAATTTTGGTTGGTGGCAACATGTCATCTAGAGCTTGCTTCCAAAAAAAAATGGGTTGCAATCTACACCATTTATTACTGATTCATTTTTGCTTTTGATTTGGTTCGTTAAGGAGTTTCGTTTTTACTTTTTTAGATTCAGGAAGTCTTTAATGGGTTTCACCGGTTTAGTAGGTTCACCTTTATCGGCCAACAAGAATTACATTTCTCTCTATTTATGTCGACAGTCACCAATAATTCAAATTTATACATTAAGTTTTCTTAACTATATATTAAGTGTAACATTATATTTACCTTCTTTCTATAATTTAATTCAACTTTTTTACTTATGTTTTTTTTTTTTGGTGCGGAACTTTTTTACTTATGTTTATTTATATATAAATAGATATATGTATACATGATCCTGTTATTTTAGCTACAATATCTTAAATTTATTATTTCAAAGATTTTTGTCTACTATCTTCTTCATTTTTTTTTTTCATTTATGCTTATATATACATATATTTAAGCTTATTATTTATTTTTATTGCAATGCAAACATGTGTCAATATTAGTTATTTTTACATTTAAAGATACAAAAATTTAGGGACTAAAATGGCTGAGATAATATTATTCTTCTATATATTCTATAAATTTAATTTTATTCAATAAATATTGGGAAAATGACTAAAGTTTTCTTACAAATATTCCCAAATGGTTGGAGATTTGTGCTTTTTTTTTCCCAAAGTTCATGTAATATTTTTCCCAAAATTCCACCATTCATGTTTTTGCCAATTTTTTTGGTGGTAAATATATAATTGTTGAAACTTAAATAGTGAATTTTTTGTTTAATTGGTTTGAATTAGAGTTGATATAAGTTGTTCTCATCTTCACCAAACTTTCTTCTGCTTACCAAAGTAAGGGACTTTCATTACCTCAACAAAAATCTTACACAAATGGGTTTTGGTTTTACTGTCTAAAATGGAACACAGAGTTTTATAGAAAGACAAAACTGAAACGGAAAGTGAGACTTAAAGTAAAAGGAAATTGCAATCGAGAGCCAGCTGATTAAGATATTTTGCAGGTAACTGGAGCGCCGAGCATACGTTTCTCAAAGGCATAAAGCTGATTATTTTCTCCAGTTGCTGAAAGATCTCTGAGCCATAAAGCTGAAAATTAAACCTTTTTCTTGAGATTTGTTGTTCCCCAGATTCTCTGACACTTCTTTAACCTTAAAGTTCGTCGCTTTTTCTTGCAAGAGCTCTTCTGAGGTGGATCTGGATTCTGGGTAAGGTTTGATTTTTTATATCTTTACCAACTTTGTTCACCACTAATTGGAGTTCTTAGGGTTTCAAGTAATTTTGGTGAAATTAGAGCTTTTACTGGGTTTTCATTTGTTGGAATGTTGTTTCTGTTGACTCTTTATCTGATACAATCATACTAAGAGGTTACGGATCTTGGACTTTGTAGGAACTTGATCAAAAGCCCTCATCTTTTATGATATATATGAATTAAAATGGCTGAGGCTGTGATTGTGGCTGATGTCAAGGGTCAGACCAGTGACTCTGTTTCAAAAAAGGTGTTGATTGAAGAAGAGGAAGATGTGAAGAAACCGCTACAAGAAAATGATTCAAGAATGGACAAAGATGGTATTAGCTGCAGTAGTAACATTGCAGCTCATGCTGTTCATGAGGAAGTTGCGGATAATGTTAGTGCGGTAAGCTGCAACGAAGCAGAGAGTGATACTTCGAAAGCAAAGGCGAAGGAGTTCCACACTATTGATTTGAGTGGTGGAGGAGAAAGAATCTGCAGGATTTGTCATTTTGGTTCTGATCAATCACCTGAGGCTTCTGGTGATGATAAGTCAGTAAGTCCGGAGTTGATTGAGATTGGTTGCAAATGCAAAAACGAGCTTGGCCTTGCACATTTCCACTGCGCAGAAGCTTGGTTCAAGTTAAGAGGGAACAGGTAATGAATTCAATTTCTTAAGAGTGTTATTAGCTTAGTAAGAGTAAGGATTTGATGCATGAACTGGACTAATGTACAAGATTCAGCATTAAGTCAAAATCTTTACAGATAAATCTTGGTGTTTTTGTTGTGTTCTTGGCAGTGTGTGTGAAATCTGCGGTTGCACAGCGAAGAATGTTACAGTAAGGTTGATGGAGGATTGGAGCGGCGAAAGGGACAATACATTGGAAGGGAGAAGAAGACGAGGAAGAGGACAATCTTGCTGCATCTTCATGGTTTTTCTGCTCACTATCTATTTGCTTCATTGGTTTTTCAAAAAGATTAGCGGTTACTACCAAAACACTTGAATAAAGTAAATCTGTTGGTCATTTTATCATTCGATTCTGACTCTAGACTATATGGAAAAGAGATGATAGAATCCAAGTTCTTAGATCAAACTCTGATTCATAATCTAACCGATGGACAATTTAGAGTTGTGACTGTAGATTTTGACTCTGAACTATTAGAACAAGGAACCATTTTGTGAGACTTGTTTTGTATCTCTCTATCTTAAAGAAAGGGCAATTTCGTCCATCTACTGCATATAATCCCCCACATGGGCCAATGTGGTTAATAGAATTATATAGGCCCACATACTAACATAGGCCACCTCTTATTATATTGCCGTTGGACTAATAAAATATATCTTCATCGTTTATGTTTGGTTCACGCCATAAACATCCGACTTTCATACGCGTGACATGATTTATTTAGTAAGGATTTTAGAGAGTGTGCAGGACCTCACGCGTTTCTCTCAAATTTTACTAGGATTGAAGGACACGAGAACTTCCATGTTCAAATGGAAATACTTATTTATATGTTCTGAAGAGGGATAAAATATTAATATAAGAGGGGAAAAAACATTATCATTATAACATATAAACATTCAAACTAATGCCTTAAGTATTGACGAAAAAAACAAAAAAACTAATGCCTTAAGTACTTTTGGAAGACACTCACCAACAAAGGCTTTGCAGGGTAGTTTTAGATTCCAAGATTGATTTGGGATTGGATCCATAAAACCTGATAACCAATAACAAAAAAACATTAACTTGCCTAGAGATTACGGAAAGATGTATTGTTTTGCATGGATGAATTGCGGGGCAAATCTCCTTTGGCAGAGAAGCATTTTGCTTGCATATCTAGGCAAAGCTATCTGCCATAGGAGTATTCGCCCAGTAATCCAACCATACATTATCTCTCTGTCTTCATAAACATGCATCTTCACTACTATTTAATATATATTTTCTTGACTTTTCACATTGCATCTTGAGTTATTGTAAGTTGGACTAGCAAAGAACATATATATAGTTGATGAATGATGAAAGTGTTTCTATTTAGTGAATGCATATAGAAAAGCATATTCTCTGGCACATCCCATGTTTCATAGAGCATATGTGTCTAGTATAATCCTAAAGACCCCTTCATGCGGTCCTCATGCTTCTGATTCCGAGATATAACATTTTTTTTTCTTGATTTACCAGGCATTTTTCTCTCGAATACCTTGCTAGTAAATGGTATATTAAGTTTTGTGATTCATGTTTTGATAGGAAATTGTTCCATAGCATATGCTCTTTACATCTAGGTTTATAAATACATTACATAGTTTGAGTTTTTCCTTTTGAAGCAATCAAGTGAGAGAGGAAAACAGAGATTATGTTTTGGTAGAAAGCATTACAGGGCGAATCCTCTATTGGCAGGGGAAGTTGATGAGTGTTGATCACTCTTATATTTTCTCATCATTTTCCTCTGCCAAAGGAGATTTGCCTCGCAATGCTTCCCTACCGTTATGGCGTTATTCATTTCTCCAATGTCCAATCTACTATATAATATTTTCATTTAATAGTGTTATTTGAGGCAGCTCATATACTTTTATGATTTGATAATTGTCAAATATGTTGTTACTCGATTTAGAGTCTCTTCAAAATCTACTCCTTTATTTTGGTTCGAATGGTATCTCTTCGTTAGAGGCTTTCACGCACTTAGACAAAGAATGCTTCAAAACTAATGAGAATCCGAGAACCAGTTTCCACAATCAAGTTAAAACGATATTACGGTTCACAATTTTTCATCATAAAATACTTAAGAAATCCAACATGTTTCATTCTACAAAATTAGTATAGATCTTGCTAAGCAAAAATTTAAAATGGTTATATACAATCTAAAGCCAATATTATCTTATGTGCATTGTCAAATAGCTATATATTGATCAAGTATAATAGCATGCAATCTAATTTTTGTTTTAGTTGGATATACTTATTGAATATGCTGCCAGCCTGCAGTACCTGAAGCATCTAACTTTGATCTTTGGCCTTTTCAAACCTAAATCATAAAATCTCCAAAGATGCTACAGGAATAGCTAGGATATATACAAGCATATGATTTGTTTCTTAATAAGTATTAATTTGTCTATTTGAATTTATTTTCTGCACACTAATGGACTAATTTAAAAATAAGACTCTATATACCACAATGGTAAAGTTGACTTAATTGTATAACTAATTTTGTATAATGACAATATCCGTACTTAACTCTTCTTAAAAGTTCAATTATATTTTACATGAAAGAGAAAAATGTGTACTTGTAAAAACTATACAATATACAATTTATGACTTAAGAGGTTGATGGGTATGCAGGCGCTTGCAAATGCTATGAATGGGAGCTAAAACGTTTTTCTTCTTAAATTCATTATTTTACTCCTATCTAGCAAAATACAATGTAAACTTACTTAACTTTACAAAAATGTCAAAAAGAAAGAGAAGAAGCAAAAGTTTGTGAGTTTTTTCATTAAAAAAGTTAAAACCCTGGAGAGGACAATACCACGGATCATTCCATTTTTAGAGTATATAACCTTTACAAGTTGTCTTTGTCAAACTTTTTTGCAAGTCAAAAGATTATTTCTGGAATTAATCATCTTAAAATAATTAAAACTCATTAATTGGATGTTTAATATCGTAAGTTATAATAATCAAGTAAAGTAGAACAAAACTCTGTGAGACTCGAATAAAGAATACTAAAGATGACAGTAAAAATCTCGGGGCATAGAGGATTATTCCTTAGGAAATTAAATTATGCACACGTATAGAGAGATTTTATTCTAGATTGGAAGGATAGTGCCATTGAATATGCTTATTGCAATGTTATATATAAACACAACACAAACAATTATTTTTAGTAGAGAGATGAAAGATACATAGAGAAGGTGCAAATACATTACAGGGCAAGATCACCATTGGCAGAAATCTATTACTTCATTCTTGCATAATATGCATTAATGTTTGTGGTGAGCTCTCTGCCAAAGGAGATTTGCCCTGTAATTCTCTTGCGCCAATGTTTTAGATATCTTCATGGTATTTGGTTAATCAGATTTTGATTTTTGAGTCGAAGTGGACGTACTAGCTAGTTCTCTTGGATCAACTCCTAGAAATCGACGATCCTAACTTTAAAGAAACCCATTGAATGATAACAAAGAGGTTATGTTGTCTTGTTATGTTTCAAAGATAGTCATAAACTCTTTTCGCGTTGCCATCAGTAGATGTAGATAAGTAGATTCATGAAGGTAATGTATTCTTCTATATATGCATCAAGCAGGTTAGTGAAAACATTGGTTATGTAAGAAAACTAACAACTTTGTCGACTTTATCTTACTATTATATGTTTTTGTATGCCATTTGTTGAATCAGAATTATGATTTGTATGCGGCAAAGTCTATGGTTGGTCCATTGTTTGATCAAAAGACCGATTCCATGGCCGTGGCAGATTCGTTGCTTAGTGTAGAATAGAAACCATCTGAGAATTGGCTTGTTTGTTTTAAGGTTTGTCTTGATCAATGTTTATTAATTGGGAGGATTTAGAAGTTATGGTTATTAATTTGGTTCGAATTAATTATATGTGGGTAGAATTTGGTAAACCGGAATCATGCTTAGTGAACCATGACTGGGTCAAAATAAAGAAAGGGCAAAATGGGAATATACAAATATTCCACATCCTATATAAGAACACTGCATGGTAAGCGGCAATTCACAATTTGATAAAATTTCATGCGTTAGAGAAGTTGCAATTTAGCGAAAAGCCAAAAAGTCTGCTCCTTTCGATTCTTTAGGGTTTTTAGGGTTCTTCTCGAGTCGAGTAAGAGCGAGTATATATCGCGATTTTCCAGATTTGGGTATTTCTAATCGGAACCCTAGTTTCTCTGTAATCGAACCATGTCTCACTACTCAGACGACGATGAGGATGATTCGGAGATGGAGGAGGAGGAGGACGAAGACGAATATGAGCCGAGAAGTAGCCGCAAAGGTAGCTCAGGGAAGAAAAGGGGAAGATCAAATTCAGATTCCGATGGTCGGCGAGGGAGTAAAAAGAAGTCTTCGGGTTCCGCCTTCATTGACTGGGAGGTTGAGGTGGATGACGACGTAGAAGACGACGACGATGATGTTGAAGATGATAACGGTAAGCATAGTTGAGAATTTGGGGACTTTTTCTCTTTCCAGTTACGAAATTGATTTCTTGATTGAATTCGACGATTCTGTTTTTATTGGAAATTCACAATTTCGTCTCCGAAACTTTTGTGTTACTGAGATTTTCAATTATCTGAATTTTTGCAGGTTTCATTGTAAGTGGTGAAACTGACCTTCCTAGTGAGGATACTAATCATCATAGGCAATTTTACCAACGGGGGTTTAATCCTCATGAAGAAGATGTCGACGAGTTTGAGAAGAGAACTTTGGAAAGGTTGTCTTCTAGGATGCATGCAGAGGATGATGATGAGCTTGATGAGTTTAACGACATTGATCAACAAGCGCTTTTGCCATCAGTCTGTGACCCAAAACTGTGGTTGGTCAAATGTGCGGTACGATTTCTTTCTTGTTATCTCTTCACTTGGAAGTTTGATTGATTCCCTCTTATATCGTTAATTGTTGTTTTACAATGGAATCATTAGATTGGCCGTGAAAGAGAAGTTGCTGTTTGTCTTATGCAAAAAATCATAGATAGAGGATCAGAGTTCAAGATTAGATCTGCTATTGCCCTTGATCATCTTCAAAACTATGTATACATTGAAGCGGATATGGAAGCTCATGTGAAAGAGGTATTTGCTGGTTTGCATAGCAATATTTTGATGTTCTGACTATAGTTTGATGATATATCTTCCTCTGTGGAGTAGGCTATCAAGGGCATGCGGAATATTTATGCTAATCAGAAGATTTTACTTGTCCCCATAAAAGAAATGACAGACGTTCTTTCTGTCGAAAGTAAAGCAATCGATCTATCCCGTGATACATGGGTTAGAATGAAACTTGGGATATATAAGGGTGATCTAGCTCAGGTACGATTCATTTTTCATGTGTTTTAAGTGTTCAGAGTTCTCTGAAACCTTTCTGCAATGTATTTTGGTACATAGGTGGTTGATGTTGATAATGTGCGTAAGAGGGTCACAGTCAAGTTGATCCCAAGAATTGATCTGCAGGCTCTAGCCAATAAGCTGGTATTAGAAACATACTTGTTACATTTAAACTCAGTCTGTTAAGATAAACTATATAATTTCCGGGCTTATTTAAACTGATTATATGTAGGAAGGAAGAGAGAATGTCAAGAAGAAAGCTTTTGCTCCACCTCCACGTTTCATGAACATTGATGAGGCAAGGTACTGTTCCAGCCTTCTGGTGAAACTATTCTCTGCTTTTTCTAAGCAATTAGTGTGCTTTTTGGTTATGATTTAACAGTATTTGTAACGTGACTTTAGGGAACTTCACATACGTGTTGAGCACCGGCGTGATCCAATGACGGGTGACCACTTTGAGAATATCGATGGTATGCTTTTCAAAGATGGTTTTCTTTACAAGAAAGTATCGACGAAGTCAATTGCTGCTCAGAATATTACACCAACCTTCGATGAACTTGAAAGATTCAAGAGACCAAATGAAAATGGGGAGATCGACTTCGTTGATCCCTCCACTTTATTTGCAAATAGAAAGAAGGGTCATTTCATGAAAGGTGATGCGGTTATTGTTATCAAGGGGGATCTTATAAACTTAAAGGGTTGGATTGAGAAAGTAGATGAAGAGAATGTTCTTATCAGATCGAATATGAAAGGTCTTCCTGTAAGTATCCAAAATCTTCATCTTTTCATAAACAACATATATTTGTTGCTAAAATGTTGCAGCCAGTAAAAGACTATTTACTGTTGCAGAATCCTATTGCGGTAAATGAGAGAGAGCTTTGCAAATACTTTGAACCTGGAAATTTTGTGAAGGTTGTGTCTGGCATCCATGAAGGAGGAACTGGCATGATTGTCAAAGTTGATCAGCATATGCTTATCATTCTGTCTGATACAACCAAAGAACATGTAAGGCAATTTTTGTTTAAGTCGTGGATTAATTTCTGACAAGGGTAATAAAACGCATGGGGATTATATTTATATGTAGATTCGCGTCTTCGCTGATCATGTCGCCAAGAGTGCAGAAGTGACTAATGGTGTCACAAAAATTGGAGACTATGAACTTCATGATCTTGTGATTCTAAGGTAAGTTGAATGCCCAACCACCTCTAATTGATACCATTTCTTTGGGTATGATAGCTTTATATTACACGATGCAGTGACTTGAGCTTTGGAGTAATCATAAAACTTGATAGTGAAGCTATCCAGGTAACTTACCAATTTCATGTTGATACAATCATACAAATGCCTCTAGTTAACATGTCAATGCTATAATGTTATTATTTTATTTTCAAGATTTGCTGTAACTCTATTTTGGTTTATTTCAGATTCTTAAAGGGGTTCCTGACAGCTCAGAGGTCTCTATTGTCAAAGCCAGCGAAATAAAATACAAAATTTGGAAGAAAAGCAATGTTCAAGACCGTTACAAAAATGTCATCGCGGTGAAAGATGTTGTCAGGGTCATTGAGGGTCCTAGCAAAGTGAGTTCCTTTGCAGTCTGATCGTTTTTGGGTTAACAAACTCCCTAATTATCATTTGATTTATTTATCTGTGATAGGGTAAACAAGGTCCAGTGGTGCAAATCTACAAAGGAGTGTTGTTTATACATGACCGGCATAACTTTGAACACACTGGATTTATCTGCACTAGATGCTCATCTTGTGTTCTTGTTGGTGGCAATTTCAAGACACCAGCCCTGATTCCTCCATCTCCAAGAAGATTTCAACGGGCAGACATGGGATATAACCGTATGTCAGATTTCTTCATATTATTTTGGTTCTTTATCCTTGAATGGTCCACTGCATGTTAAAGAGGGGGATTCCGCAATGTATGACTTGTAAATAGGAGCTGGAGGGAGACATTGTGGTGGACAAGGGAGAAGGGGTGACGATCTTTTGGTAGGTACTTATGTGAAAATTCGTATGGGGGCTTTCAAGGGATATAGCGGGCGTTTAGTTGAAGTCAAAGATAAGTTAGTGCGTGTGGAACTCGAGGCCAAGATTGTGACAGGCAAGCTCCACTGTAATTTCACTTCTGTTCACAGCTGGTTGCTGAATGTTGAATGAATTCTAACTCTCCTTGTATGTACAGTTGAGCGGACGGCGATATCAGATATGACTGATAATGTAGCCACACCTTCTCATTATAATATGGGAAGCCAAACTCCTATGCATCCTTCCCGGACTCCACTTCATCCTTGTATGACTCCGATGCGGGATTCTGGAGGTTTGTTACCTTAGTTATTTCGCAGTTTCAAGATCCAATCATTTGTGTTTCTTTTTTTGTCTTCATTTGACATATTAAGCTGTTTGATAAGTTTAGCTACACCTATCCATGATGGAATGAGGACACCTATGCGTGGTAGAGCTTGGAATCCTTACATGCCGATGAGTCCTCCTAGGTACGTTTGTTATACAGACAAACATGTCTACTGTTTAATTATTCCCGTAAATATTTAATATTTTGAGCAAGAGTCTCAATTCTCAAACTATGGTTTTATGGTCTCAGGGATAACTGGGAAGATGGAAACCCGGGATCATGGGGAACAGGTCCATATGAAGCATCTACGCCTGGATCAGGATGGGGTAGTAGTACTCCTAGTCGTAGTAGTTACAGTGATGCTGGAACACCAATAAACAATGGTTTCTGTTCTGTCTACCTTTTATGCCTTGACGGTTTCTTGCTTTGACGACTCTTCTTCTCACACACTTTTCTTATGCAGCTAATGCCCCAAGTCCTATGACACCAAGCTCAGCTTCCTACCTACCTACCACACCCGGAGGACAACCAATGACTCCTGGAACCGATCTCGATGTCATGTCTCATGATTTAGGTGCCGTCTCTTATTTTATACCATTTGGTGTTTTTTATTCTCATATCCTATTTGAAGTCTATAAGATGAGCTTTTGGTTCTCATATTCTTAACTCGACCAGGTGGAGATGCAGAAACAAGGTTTGTGCCTGGTATTTTGGTCAACGTACACAAAGCTGGAGAGGATAGTAAACCCGGTGTCATCCGAGATGTTCTTCTGGTTTGTCCTCTTTAAAATACACAGAAGAAGAATGTTGTATTGGAGTTAAAATTTTCATTTTACTAATTATTCTTCCTTTGTGGTCATCAGGATGGCTCATGTGTAGTCGCACTTGGACACAGAGGTGAAGGCGAGACGATAATGGCGACACAGAACAATGTGAGCCTAGTTTGTCCAAAGAAGAACGAACGTGTGAAGATTCTTGGAGGCAAGTATGGTGGTTCAACAGGTAAGGTCATTGGTGAAGACGGATGGGACGGTATAGTTAAGCTAGATGAAAGTCTCGATGTCAAGATAATGAAGCTGGCTATATTAGCCAAGTTAGTTCATGAGTGACCCATTTCTCATGATTTAGGAAATCCATAGGCTCGTCTATAGTATTTGCTAAATAATTTGCTCTTACATAAAATTCTTGAGATTTATTATTCAATTCTTTGTGACTTTGCAACTTTATTTACATAAAATTCTTGAGATTTATTTAATCTTTAATAAACGACTCTTCTTTTTTTCTCCATTTTCTCTCTTCTCTCTACATATAAATCTTCCAAAGAAGATGAAGATCACACAATCTTCTACTGGTTTACATTAAACATAGGATACATAAATGAAGCGAGCTCGAGAAATGAATTCCATGGTATCTTCTCCTAAACGAAGGTCTTTATATAAGAAAAACCTCAACATAATTTCTTCTCAATTCGTTTTATTCAAAAACTTACTTACCATTGTGTACCTCAACATAAAATCCATGGTCTCTTCTACTATGTGTGTTTGCAGCAAGAGAATGGTGAGAGTAGCGATCAAAGTCAGATATATCTACTAACACTGGAGTGAACACTAGGTGCTCGACGAAATGTCACAGTGAGAGGTCACTTAGATATGGCCATGTTCGTTTTGGAGTCGCTCAATGAGCGATTGCGACAAGAAAATAGACACCGACGGAGTCGTAACTGTACAAAAGAGTCGCTGCCACTGTTAAAAAGAGTCGCCGTTAGTGTTGAATGAGTTGCCGCACCTGTCGCTTGAAATTTCAGCGACTACTTTGTCTCTCTGCGACACATTTTTCTCTCCCCAGCGACACCTCCGTCATCAACCTTTTGCCGCACCTGTCGTCGTTTTGCTTTATTGATGGCCGCCGCCACCGTCGTTTTGATCTGTCGCTGAGATGGTCGCTGGCGACTCTCATCCGAACACGGCCATAAAAAGTCAACTTATTATTATTTCCCAATGAAGATCACGTGCCATGCACCTGACCGTTTCTTTATCTCTTCCTTGTGGCTCAAGTTACATAAAACGCCTCTACTCTGTTTTTTTCTCGTAAACAGAACAATACTCTCTCAAGAAAAGTTAACCTCATTTTTCCTCTTTTCTTTCTCAGTCTCCCATTTTCTTGAAAGACAAAGACACCCACCATTTTCTCTCGAGAAGATTTTGACTCCCCTGGGGTACGATGATGACGAAGAGTTCAGGGCAAAGTGACGACGAAAACACAAAAAGCAAGATCAGCGATGCAGCCAAAGTTGCTGCTAGAGACTTCTGGGTCGAACGTAACCGCTTTCGAGCTTTGGAATTAACAGAGAAAACGATTTCTGATCATGGGAATCATGAAAAGTGCTTTAGTCACCACGAACTGCAAGGTGATATCTTCTATGACCAAGCGATCAATACAGATGACACCGACCTCAAATGTGTATACTTGTTTGCTTCTGTCGATGCTTATTCAATGGCTACTCTTCTGTATCCTTACGATATGAGCTCCTTTCCCGGCTATGCTCATTCGATGATCAAGTTGGGTGATCAGCTTCAGATAAAAAAATTTTACAAGAAGGCTGTGTCCAAAGCAAAACGGGGACTGTTAGTAACGCAACCTCAAGGAATGTCTGTGGAGGTTAGCTATTTTGGCAAGATAAAGACAGAACTTGAGAAATTGATACATCTTGCAACAGAGAAGATGCAGGCGCCTGTGACTGTTTCTGATCATACAGGTACTACGGCCAATCAGATGGTAACGATAAAGAAAGATCCTTCTTTTGATCGATTGAAGAACTTTTGGGTTAAATTGGATGACAAGACCAAAAGGGGATTTTTGGTAGTAGACTTTCGAAATCTTATAGCCTATATAGAGAATAAGCATGGGACGCAAGTAAAAAAACATTTTCAGCTATGTGTACCCATCGCCAATAATCTTCGATGGAGATGCTGGAAATGCCACATTTGTTCTCAGGTAAACTACTGTTTTACAGATTGCAAGATGCACATCTTAGATAACCATGTGCACACATCTGAACCCAAATTCAGTGCTCGTCCTAAGTATGTGGATGAGATTTTGGCTGACATGATATGCTGTGGGGATTGGAAGCCAGTTGATACAGAGAAGGCAGCAAATCTGATCAAGGATAGAACTAAGAGCCGGAAAGAGTTAGTTTATGTTAATGGATGGTGTAGTGAGGCCTGTAGCGAATGATAAAGACCGGGAAAACATACTCAAACAGTTTTCCGAGGTTCTTAAATCTTCTTGTGCCAAGGAGAATCGTACTCTTTCATGTGCCCTTTGGGACTGGTTGGTAGATTACACAGAAGAGAATCTGGATCTACCTGGAGTTCCTGGGATCTATCTTGATAAATGTAGCTTCTTTAAGAACCCTCAATGCATCTGCTTCTTAGATCTTAAGCACCTTAAACACATCCTCAAATATTTTAGACAGCTCACCACTGATGTTCGAGCAAGTTTGGTTTCAAAAGTAGTGAATCAGTTCTGGGAAGATTCCCAGGTCAAGGAAAGAATCGATCTTGAGGGACTTACTACTTATAATCTACTTCTGGACAAGAGACTGTTGTATGAAGAAGAGATTGAATCGGATAATATAGGGACAGTAGAGCATTATAAATCCACTGGAATCTATGAGGATGTGATGCCTAAGGGTGATAAGATTGTCTCTTGGATTTTTGACTGCCCAGAAATCGGTCAGGACTTTGTGTCTCAAATGGCAAAGGGTGTACACAATCGTGAGCTATGGTTAGCAGCTTTGAGAATAGTACGGTGTGTGGTTAGGAAAATGGAAAGGTACTATGATAAGAGACACAGGATGGTAACCTATGAGAAGATGTTGAATGAGGCTAAGACCATTTGTGACAGAGAAGACTCTAGGAAGAATGAAAATCAGCGGAGCACATATGAGTCTGTGCTTCGAATGAAATGTGAGGAGCTTGTAGGTAAGCAAGATGATGATACAAAATGTTTCTTGACTGTTGTAAGAGATGTTTTTCAAAGAAAAAGCTCTCCAAGTTTTGAAGTATTAGAAGATAAGGAGGAGTGTATATCCAAACGCTCTACTACTGTCCCAAATGATGATGTTAAGAAAAGTCTGTCGACGTTAAAGACATCGCTGAAAGAGAAGGTTTTCTTCTTTCTCTTCTTTCTTTTAATTCATTTGAACAAGATTTGATCTGTGACGGCTGATATGAGGAGTGTTTTTGCAGTTCCCTTTGATTGATTCAAAGATTTTGCGGAACAAATCTACGTACAAAAAGCTAATAGATGTATTCCCAAAGCTATCAGCAGTTGAGTATCGGTTGGTGGTCCTTCCATTCGTGAAGAAGTTCTTACAGGTTTGTCAACTTGTGGATTTTATTAATCAAAGATCATTCACTTGGTTTTGGATTGAATCTTAATTCCAATATAACACATTTGTTTTCTGGCAGGATAAACTGAAGAAAATGATGAAAACAAATAGCAGTTCAGTTGCTGCAGGAGATTCTGCTGAACGAGAACGTAAGAAGAGACATCTTTCAAATGAGGTAAAAGACCTAATCAATCCTGTCAGCAGTTGTTGTTTTGCTGTTTTTTTTTGTTTGGAGTTAAAGTGAGTCATGCAATTGATGCAGGGCTTAAATTCTGGAGGATCATTCTTGCAGATGAAGAAAAACTTTGAGTAGGTTTTGTTTAGAAAACAGTCTTTTATGTTCTCGGAAACACTTTGGATCCGAGAGAAAACTGGTCTGAAGTGTTCTAGTTTGTTTTAGGATCTGATGCATATATGTTTGTTGTGTGTGAAAGCAAACTGAGAAAAATAGGACTTTGACACAATGAAATGCACTTGTTGATCTTCAAAGGCTTTCACAAGCTTCGTTTCTTTGAGAAATTTATCAGGAAAGTGGTGAACACATAAATTCTCCATTCCCGGAAAATTCCAACTCAAGACATTCATTTCAGTTTTGGTGATTAGTATTATCTCTAAGATGCAGGATTCCTACTTTTCTTAATCATATTTCTCATTTTATTACACATACTAATTGTAGGAAAGTGCGGCAAAGTTGTGTAGGATCAGAATTAAAGAGAGATATTACATTCACATAGTCAAAATAAATAACATTTTTAGACCCAAATTTTATTCTGCTTAGGTAGGCATGAATAATAGTCCTCAAGTTTAGTCCTTATAAGTTCAAAACCTTTTGGTCCTAAAACTTTTACTTCACTAACCCAAAAGTTTATAGTAACTGAGTATACACACAGTGTGACATTAAAGGGACTATTTTTCTCTCATAGTCTCATAGCAACAAAACAATTCACCTCAAAGATCAAAACTTCATCGATAATTCGAACATAAACCAAACAAAATGGCTCCATCTAATGATCATTTGCCTCTTTCTAGTCCTCACCTCCGCTTCTTCTCGACTTCTTCGTCGGAGAAAGCTTTCAGAGACAAGGAAATATGATATGTTGTCAACGGTGAGAGAGGATGAGAAAAACCTCAATATGAAAATTACCATTGTATGTCTTCTACTATGTGTTTGTCTTCCATCGAGAGATACATAGAGAATAGAGTAGTGAGAGTATCGTTCAAAGTTCTGAGATTAATCTACGAACCCTCAATATGAAAATTACCATTGTATGTCTTCTACTATGTGTTTGTCTTCCATCGAGAGATACATAGAGAATAGAGTAGTGAGAGTATCGTTCAAAGTTCTGAGATTAATCTACGAACCCTCAATATGAAAATTACCATTGTATGTCTTCTACTATGTGTTTGTCTTCCATCGAGAGATACATAGAGAATAGAGTAGTGAGAGTATCGTTCAAAGTTCTGAGATTAATCTACGAACCCTCAATATGAAAATTACCATTGTATGTCTTCTACTATGTGTTTGTCTTCCATCGAGAGATACATAGAGAATAGAGTAGTGAGAGTATCGTTCAAAGTTCTGAGATTAATCTACGAACCCTGGAGCGCACGCTAGGTGCTCGACGAAATGTCACACTGAGAGTTCATTTGAAAGAAAACTCAACTTATTTATTTTCCAATGAAGATCACGTGCCTTGCACATGACCGTCTCTTTATCTCCCTCTTGCTCTGCCAACAGCTGTATATAAACGCCTTTACTCTGTTTTCTTCTCGTAAACAGAGAACCAATACAATTCCAAGAAAAAGCTCTCTCTTTTCTTTCTCACTCTCCCATTTTCTTGGACCTCAAAGAAACCCATCGTTTTCTCGAGAAAATTCTGCGTTTGAATGATGAAGAATTCAGAGAAAAGTGATGACAAAGAAACAAAAAAGAAGATTGACGATGCATACAATCTTGCCAAAGGCTTCTGGAAAAAAGGTAACCGTATTGAGGCCTTGATGTTAACCGAGAAAACGATTTCAGATCATGGGAGAAACGAATCTTGCTGCTATGTTCACCACGAACTTCAAGGTGATATCTTCTATCAGCTTGCGGGAGAAATAGAGTTAGAGATCACCAACGACATCAAACGCGTATACTTGTTTGCTTCTCTCGATGCGTTTTCAATGTCTATTCTTCTGTGTCCTGACGCTTTGAGGTCATTTCGTGGCTGTGCTCGTTCGCTAATCGAGTTAGGTGATCAGCTTGGGATAAAGAAGTTTTATGAGAAAGCTGCGTCGAGAGCATGTCAGGGAGTGTCCATAACAAAACCTCAAGACATTTCGCAGTCCTCAGAAAAAGCTTTGAAGAAGAAGAATAGCAATGCGGCTGTGACTGTTTCCGAGACAAGTAGTATGGATAATCAGATGCTATTGATAAAGAAAGATCCTTCTAATCAGTTGAAATACTTTTGGGTTAATTTGGATGACAAGACTAAAAGGGATTTTTTGGTAGTAGACTTTCGAAAGCTTATAGACTACATTTTTGATGTGTATGGCAAAGAAGTAAAAGGATATTTTCGGAAATGTGTAGCCACCATCCTCGATTCAAGTCGATGGAGATGCTGGAAGTGCCACATTTGTTCTCAGGTTAACTACTGTTTTACAGATTGCAAGATGCACATCTTAGATAATCATGTGCACAAATATGAACCCGACTTCAGTGCTCATCCTAAGTATGTGGATGAGATTTTGGCTGACATGATATGTTGTGGGGACTGGAAGCCAGTGGATATAGAGAAGGCAGCAAATCTGATCAAGGAGAGAACTAAGAGCCGGATAGAGTTTGTTTATGTTAATGGATGGTGTAGTGATTGGCCTGTAGCGAATGATAAAGACCGGGAAAATATACTCAAACAGTTTGCGGATGTTCTTAAATCTTCTTGCCCCAAGGAGAATCGTACTCTTTCATGTTCCCTTTGGGACTGGTTGATAGATTACACAGAAGAGCATCTCGAACTACCTGGAGTTCCTGGGAGCTATCTTGATGAATGTAGCTTCTTTAAGAACCCTCAATGCATTTGCTTCTTAGATCTTAAGCACCTTAAACACATCCTCAAATATTTTAGACAGCTCACCACTGATGTCCGCGGAAGTTTGGTTTCAAAAGTAGTGAATCAGCTCTGGGAAAATTCCCAGGTCAAGGAAAGAATCGATCTTGAGGGAGTAACTACTTATAATCTGCTTCTGGATAAGAGACTGCTGTATGAAGAAGTGCTTGAATTGGATAAGAATGAGACAGTAGAGCATTATCAATCCACTGGAATTTATGAGGATGTGATGCCTAAAGGTGATAAGATCGTCTCTTGGATTCTTGACTGCCCAGAAATCAATAAGGAATTTATGTCTCAAGTGGCAAAGGGCTTACACAATCGTGAGATATGGTTAGCAGTTCTGAGAATAGTACAGGGCATGGTTAGGAAAAAGGAAAGCTACTATGATAAGAAACGCAGGATGCTAACCTATGAGAAGATGTTGGGTGTGGTAGACACCATTTGTGACAGAGAAGACACTAGAAAGAATGTTAATCAGCGGAGCACATATGAGTTTTCGCTTCGAATGAAATGTGAGGAGCTTGTTGGTAAGCAAGATGATGATACAAAAGTTTTCTTGACTGTTGTAAGAGATGTTTTTGTAAGACTATGCACTCCAAATTTTAAAGCATTAGAAGATATGGAGTGTATATCCAAACTCTCTGCTACTGTCCCAAATGATGATGTTAAGAAAAGTCTTTTGAGGTTAAGGAAATCGTTGAAAGAGAAGGTATTCTTCTTCCTCTTCTTTCTTTTTATATATTAATTTCAACAGGATTTGATCTATGATGGCTGATATGAGGTTTTTTTTTTTTTTGAAGTTCCCTTTGATTGATTCAAAGATTTTGCGGAACGAATCTACATACAAAAAGCTAATAGATGTATTCCCAAAGCTATCGGCAGTTGAGTATCGCTTGGTGTTCCTTCCGTTTGTGAAGAAGTTCTTACAGGTTTGTCAACTTCAAAGACCAGTCCCTTGGTGTTGGATTAAATCTTATTTCCAATTTAACTTATTTGTTTTCTGGCAGGATAAACTGAACAAGATGATGGAAACAAATAGCAATTCAGTTGCTGCAGGAGATTCTGTCAACATGCAGGGCTAAAATTTTGGAGGATCATTCTTGCAGATGGAGAAAATAGTGTTTTTATGTTCTCGGAAAAACTTTTGGATTGGAGAGAAAACTGTATATGAAAATTTGTAGTTTGTTTTAGGACCAGATGCATATATGTTTTTTTTTTTTTTTTTTTGTTAAAAGATGCATATATGTTTGTATTGTGTGTGAAAGGAAACTGAGAAAAAGGGGACAATGAAATGCACTTGTTTATCTTCATCAACTTTGGTCTATACTTGTTCAAACATGGTCATATCAGATAAATTTAGTCCGCTCTTCAACATCAAAATACAAAACAAATCACCTCAAAGATCAAAAAACTTCCAACTTAAACCAAACTAAATAATGAGCATTTGCTAATAGAGATTATGGTTTACTAAACCATATGATTAATCTGTAACGCAAACCGGTATTCTATAAACTGGTATTGTATCTCACCATATAAGAAATGTCGTTGTACATATATGAGAAAAACAGAGAATCTTTTTCTTCTTTCTTCTCTTCCTCTGTAACAAACTTTTCTCTATCATGGTATCAGAGCATTGAATCTTTAAAATTCCATCGATTCTTCTACAACCTCCACTTCATTCTTCTAGACTTCTTCGTGGCTGGTCACACCAACGAAAGCTTTCAGATACGAGGAAATATGAAATGTACCATTGTATACCGTCCTACTATATGTGTCTGTCTCTTGCAGCAAGAGATCCGTAGAGAAAAGAGATTAATCTACGAAGCCTGGAGCGCACGCTAGGTGGTCAACGAAATGTCACACTGAGAGGTTATTTGAATTTATTTATTTCTCAACGAAGATCACGTGCCTTGCACATGACCGTTTCTTTATCTCCCTCTTTCTCAGCCAACAACAGTTGTATATAAAAGTCTATACTCTGTTTTCTTCTCGCAAACAGAACAATTCTCTCCCAAGAAAAGCTAACAACTTTTTTTTCTCTTTTCTTTCTCAGTCTCCCATTTTCTTGAAAGACAAAGAAACCCACCATTTTCTCGAGAAATTTTGAACCCCCTGAGGTACGATGATGACGAAGAGTTCAGAGGAAAGTGACGCCAGTAAAACAATAAAGAAGATCGTCGATGCAGCCGAACTTGCCAGAGACTTGTTGCAAATTCAAGAACACATTAAGGCTTTGGAATTAACCGAGAAAACGATTTCTGATCATGGGAATCACGAAAGTTGCTTTTTTCATCACGAACTGCAAGGTGATATCTTTTTTGTGCTAGCCACAGAAACAGATAACACTGACGTCAAATGCGTATACTTGTTTACTTCTGTCGATGCATATTCAATGGCTACTCTTCTGTGTCCTGACGCTTTGAGGTCCTTTCGTGGCTATGCTCGTTCGATGATCCAGTTGGGTAATCAGCTTCGGATAAACCAGTTTTACAAGAAAGCTGTGACCAAAGCAAAACGGGGATTGTTAGTAACGCAACCTCAAGGACCGTATATGTCCCTAGTAGGCTATATTGTAGCCTTGGAGGCAGAACTTCAGAATTTGATAGATCTTGCAACAAAAAAGATGCATGCGGCTGTGACTGTTTCTGATACAGGTACTATGGCTAATCAGATTGCAACGATAGAGAAAGATCCTTCTTTTGATCGATTGAAGAACTTTTGGGTTAATCTGGATGACAAGACCAAAAGAGAATTTTTGGTAGTAGACTCTAGAAAGCTTATAGACTATGTAGAGAATAAGTATGGTAACAAAGTGAAAGAAGATTTTGGGAAATGTGTATCCGTTGCCAATAATCTTCCATGGAGAGGATGGAAGTGCCACATTTGTTCTCAGGTAAACTACAGTTTTACAGATTGCCAGAGGCACATCTTAGATAACCATGTGCAAAATTTTGTACCCGATCCCAGTGGTCGTCCTAAGTGTGTAGATAAGGTTTTGGCTGACATGATATGTTGTGGAAAATGGGAGCCGATGGATACAGTGGCGGCAGCAAATCTGATCAAGGATAGAGTTTAGCGCGGGGAAGAGTTTGTTTATGTTAATGGATGGTGTAGTGATTGGCCTGAAGTGAAGGATGAAGAGCGAAGGAAAATACTCAAACAGTTTGCTCAGGTTCTTAAATCTTCTTTCTGTAATGACAATGATACTCTTTCATGTACCCTTTGGGACTGGTTGATAGATTACACAGAAAGGAATCTGCAACTACTGGAAGTTCCTGGGAGCTATCTTGATAAATGTGGCTTCTTTAAGAACCCTCAGTGCATCTGCTTCTTAGATCTTAAGCACCTTGAACACATCCTCAAATATTTTAGACAGCTCACCACAGATGTTCGCGCGAGTTTAGTTCCAAAAGTAGTGAATTGTTTCTGGAAAAACTCACGGGTCAAGGAAACAATCGGTCTTGAGAGACTTACATTTAATCTGCTTCTGGATGGGAGACTGCTGTGTGAAGAAGAGCTTGAATCAGATAAGATAGGGACAGTAGAGCATTATAAATCCACTGCAATTTATGAGGATGTGATGCCTAAGGGTGATAAGATCGTCTCTTGGATTCTTGACTGCCCAGAAATCGATCTGGAATTTGTGTCTCAAATGGCAAACGGCTTACACAATCGTGAGATATGGTTAGCAGCTTTGAGAATAGTACGAGGCATGGTTAGGAACAAGGAAAGCTACTATGATAAGAGACACAAGATGCTAACCTATGAGAAGATGTTGTGTGAGGCAGAGACCATTTGTGACAGAGAAGACACTAGAAAGAATGTTAATCAGCGGAGCACATATGAGTTTGCACTTCGAATGAAATGTGAGGAGCTTGTAGGTAAGCAAGATGATGATACAAAATGTTTCTTGACTGTTGTAAGAGATGTTTTTCAAAGAAAAAGCTCTCCAAGTTTTGAAGTATCAGAAGATAAGGAGGAGTGTATATCCAAACTCTCTACTACTGTCCCAAATGATGATGTTAAGAAAAGTCTGTGGACGCTAAAGAAATCTCTGAAGAAGAAGGTATTCTTCTTCCTCTTCTTTCTTTGTATTCATTTCAACAAGATTTGATCTGTGACGGCTGATATGAGTTGTGTTTTTTTTTTGCAGTTCACTTTGATTGATTCGAAGATTTTGCGGAACAAGTCTGCGTACAAAAAGCTAATATATGTATTCCCAAAGCTATCAGCAGTTGAGTATCGCTTGGTGGTCCTTCCGTTCGTGAAGAAGTTCTTACAGGTAGGTTTGTCAACTTGTGGATTTTATTGAATCTTATTTCCAATATAACACATTTGTTTTCTGTCAGGATAAACTGAAGAAAATGATGAAAACAAATAGCAGTTCAGTTGCTGCAGGCGGTTCTGCTGAACGAAAACCTAAGAAGAGACATCTTTCAAATGAGGTAAAAGACTTAATCAATCCTGTTAGCACTTATTGTTTTGCTGTTGTTTGTTTTGAGTTAAAGTGAGTTATGCAATTGACGCAGGGATAAAATTTTGGAGGGATGATTCTTGCAGATGAAGAAAAACTTTTGAGTAGGAGTTGTTTAGAAAACAGTCTTTTATGTTCTCGGAAACACTTTGGATCCCAAAGAAAACTTTATATAAACATTTGTAGTTTGGTGTTAGGATCAGATGCATATATATGTTTGTGTGCCTGAAGAGAGATTGAGAAAAACTGGGACATACAATAAAATGCACTTGTTGATCTTCAAAGGCTTTCACAAGCTTAGCTTTGTCTCTTTGAGAAATTTATCAGAAGAAACACATTTTATCAAGTGAAAATTGTAAAATTGTTGCCGTCCAAAAAACAGATGTTAGGTGGTTGTTAGATTTGGACTAATTGTTTATGTCGACACAAATCCAAAAGCCCATTTGACCCGCCTTACAAAACAAAACATCGGCCCAATCTGTATCTCAAAAAAAAAAAACTTAAAGCTTACGTGGCGTACACTGATTCGTTATACTATCGTGTCGAGCATATTTTTTCTCGCGTCGCCACGATTTGGCAATACCCTGAGAAAATAAAAAAAAGGGAAAATGGATTATAAGGTGACCTTCGTCTTTGGTTGACCATCAAAACTACAACGCTCTTTCTCCGTAGGAAAGGGGAACGCAAATAAATAAAATTATCGAAGCCATTGGTTTCGGAGCTGATCGGTCTCTATTTCTCTCGTAAGCTTCTCCTCCTTCTTTTATCTTCTTCCAATTCCCTCTATCGCTTTTCTCCTTGAATGTTTTCGTTTCTCCAATCGTCATTTGTGAGTCCTTTCGCATGTGTTCTCTTTTGTAAATCAGATCTGTGTGATTGTTGATCTCTGTTCTTAGATCTGTATCGGTTTTATATGTAGATATACGTTGTAGATCGGAGAAGTTATGGTAGATCTGGTTTTTAGATCGACTGAGTCAAATGATTGACTCAGTTTACGAAATTGTTCAGATTCATTGATTTAATGCAGTTACTTAGCTGCGAAAACTGTGATTCGTGAATTTTGTAGCTAGATTATGTTATGAATGTGGTGCATGCGTGTGGATTTGTATAATTATCTCTGTGCTTACTTGAAAGTGATTTGTGATTTATTTACAGAAGCAGATAAACTTGATCGGATACTAGAATGGGAGGAGGATTTAGAGTTTTGCATTTGGTGAGGCCATTCCTTGCGTTTTTGCCTGAGGTTCAGAGTGCTGACAGGAAGGTGCCATTTAGAGAGAAGGTTATCTACACTGTCATCTCTCTCTTCATCTTTCTTGTCTGCAGTCAGCTTCCTCTTTATGGAATCCATTCCACGACCGGTGCCGATCCTTTCTATTGGATGCGTGTCATTCTTGCGTCCAACCGTGGGACTGTCATGGAGCTGGGTATTACTCCTATTGTCACATCTGGACTTGTGATGCAACTCTTGGCTGGTTCCAAGATTATTGAGGTTGACAACAATGTTCGTGAGGATCGTGCCCTCTTGTAAGTGTTTTTGTTTCCCATTATGAATTATATAGGCATTACATTACATGTTTTGTCCAACTGTTTCTATGTCTGGGTTTGAATTGATTGAGCTGTTTCTGGAAAAACCTATGGCTGTGGTCGTGCGAGTTCTTATTCTGTGTTGGTACTTGTTTTGTAGGAATGGTGCTCAGAAGCTTCTAGGTATTCTGATTGCCATCGGTGAGGCTGTTGCATATGTTCTTTCTGGAATGTATGGTCCCGTTGGACAGCTTGGTGTTGGAAATGCCATTCTGATCATCCTCCAGCTTTTCTTTGCTGGAATCATTGTTATCTGCCTTGATGAGCTCCTTCAAAAGGGATATGGTCTCGGATCAGGAATCTCCCTTTTCATTGCCACCAACATCTGGTAGGTCAACTTCTTCCTCATTTTATAAAACATTTCCTTTTTGGATCCCTAGCACATAATCCTTTTGAATAAATATGATTCTTATAATTTTAATTGATGATACACAGTGAAAGCATTATCTGGAAGGCATTTAGCCCAACTACCATCAACACTGGGCGTGGAGCTGAGTTTGAAGGTGCTGTTATTGCACTTTTCCATATGCTGATAACCAAGTCCAACAAGGTTGCGGCTCTCCGCCAAGCTTTCTACCGGCAAAACCTTCCAAATGTTACCAACTTGCTTGCCACAGTCTTGATCTTCCTGATTGTGATCTACTTCCAAGGTTTCCGTGTGGTTTTGCCTGTTCGATCAAAGAATGCCCGTGGACAACAGGGTTCTTACCCAATCAAGCTGTTCTACACCTCTAACATGCCCATCATCCTCCAATCCGCTCTTGTCTCAAATCTTTACTTCATCTCTCAGGTACAGACTTTTTCCACTTCCACTGTATGGGACTTATGTCCACAATGACATTGTGCTGACATTAAATATCCTCCGCGTGGTCAACAGCTTCTCTACAGGAAGTTCAGCGGAAATTTCTTTGTAAACCTTTTGGGACAATGGAAAGAATCTGAGTACAGTGGACAATCTATTCCAGTTAGTGGTCTGGCTTACCTCATCACAGCTCCAGCAAGGTAATGCAGCAGTATCTTTCAATATTCATTTTAATCGATTAAAAATTGTTATGCAGCAACTGAGTTTGATGAATATATGTTACTATGTGGTTGCAGTTTCTCTGACATGGCAGCTCACCCGTTCCATGCACTGTTCTACATAGTCTTCATGCTCACTGCTTGTGCTCTTTTCTCAAAGACATGGATTGAAGTCTCTGGATCTTCTGCTAGGGACGTAGCTAAGCAGCTAAAGGTAATAGAGTCATAACAGCTCGATATATATGACCTGAATGCTTACATGGTGTTGGATCTCTAATTTGAAAATGAAATGTCACAGGAACAACAAATGGTGATGCCAGGACACAGAGAGTCAAACTTGCAGAAGGAACTGAACAGGTATATCCCAACAGCAGCAGCTTTTGGAGGAGTGTGTATTGGTGCACTCACAGTTCTGGCTGATTTCATGGGAGCCATCGGGTCAGGAACCGGAATTCTGTTGGCGGTCACGATCATATACCAGTATTTCGAGACCTTTGAGAAGGAAAAAGCCAGTGAGCTCGGCTTCTTCGGGTTCTAAGTTAGCTTAAAGAAGGTGTAAAACTTTGCTGAGACAAAAAGCAGAGCAGAAGAGGCTTTAGCTTCTGTGCCCACCTCAAACAGACAATTTGTGGTGGCACTTTGGGGTAGACTACTTTTTTTTTTTGTTGTTCAAACGAAATTTTCTCTTTAGTCATTTATGTTTTTTTGTTACTTTTAAAAGTTAAGAAAAACTTATGTGATAGACGCTTTTCTAATGTATGTTTCTAGGAAATTCACTCTTGACCAGAATAAACAATTTTACAGTTTTGAATTCAAAGCAATGTATTATCTCTTTCTGTCAGCCAATGTGAAATGTTTTTTTTTTTTTTTTTTGTGTGTGTGAAATGTTTATCGTAGCATACTTTGCGTCAGTGTATTTCAAAACTGTGGAACGATATGGTTTTGACACCAATAAACATCAACAACGGTACATAATTGATCTCAACTACCAGCTGATACAGAGAATGGTAAGTGTGACTAATTAGGATCCGACTAATTAGGATCCGTTACAATGTTACATACTTACACTTTAATGTCAACATTCATAACAACGAAGAAACTTTTTCAGATTTTGCCAAACGCGTTTTACAAATCTCTTCTTTGTTCTTCACACCGGCAAATAAATTAGTTGTCGTTGTTCTTACACAGTCCAAGTCTTTAACACAGATATGAGATCTTAAGGTTCTTTGATTTGACAAGCTACACTGGTTTTGGAGCCATCCATCGTCAACATGGTCACCGAGGCGATATTCGCATCCTTACGACGGAGGAGCTCGCCGTCACTGGATGCATATTTGACAACAACCGTTGATCTCTCCGGCGTCCCTCTCATTCAAACCCTAGCTTCAACTTCAGCAGAGCTCGTCTCGTGCTTCCGCGGCGTTCGTTTCTCCTTCCAACGCAGAAACTCACGTTCTCTGATTCGGAAGATTGAGGTCTTGCTCTTCTTGTTTGAATACATCTCCGATGATTCAGGTTTCGATTCGACGGCAGTGCTTTGCTTTAAGGAGCTCTATCTCTTCCTCCACCGTTCCAAATTCCTTCTCCATTACTGTGCTCAGTCCAGTAAACTATGGCTCTTACTACAAAACCCGTCGCTTTCAGACTTTTTCCATGTTTTGAATCGTGATCTTGTGACCCTTTTGGATGTTTTACCCATCAACAGTCTTAATCTAAGCGACGACATTAGAGAACAAATCGAGCTTTTGCATCAACAATCCAGTAAATCGACGACACTGTTCGTTGATCACAACGACGAATTGCTACGGGACAGATTCTATTCGTTTCTCGACGGATTTGAGAAGGGTCAGATACCCAATTCGGAAGAATTGAGATCTTTCTTCGTTGAGAAATTGGAGATTAGTGATCCGAAAAGTTGCAGAGATGAAATCGAGTTTCTGGAAGAGCAGATTGTGAATCACGATTGTGATGATTTGGAGCCTACAAGGTCGTTGGTTAACGGGTTCGTGGCTATCACACGATACTGCATGTTTTTGTTGTTTGAGTTTGAAGATGATGAATTGGAGTGGAGCATCGAGAACTTGAAGAAACAGAGGAAATGTTTAATTGCGGAGGAGATTGTGGACACTTTTATGACGCTACCAAAGGATTTTGTTTGCTCTATCTCTCTTAGTTTGATGAAGGATCCTGTGATTGTTTCCACTGGACAAACTTATGATCGGAGCTCTATAGTTAGGTGGTTTGAAGAAGGTCACTCTACTTGTCCTAAAACAGGGCAAAAGCTTGTGGATTCTTCGTGTATTGTTGCTAATCTAGCTTTGAGAAACTTGATAACGCGTTGGTGCGAAGCAATGGAGTTTGAGGATTCACCAAACGAGTCTCCTGCTTCGGTTCTTCAAACAAGAGCTTCAATGGAAGCAACCAAAGCTACTGTATTGATTCTCATACAAAATCTAGCTGGTGTGTCAGAGTTAGCTCAGATAGTGGCGGCACGAGAAATTCGTCTTCTAGCCAAAACAGTAAGGAAAAGAGGTGTATTGATCGCCGAAGCAGGTGCAATCCCGCATTTGTGTAGGCTTCTTAAATCCAAAAACGCTGTTGCGCAAGAGCATTCCGTTACAGCGATGCATAATTTGTCTGTCTGCGAGGAAAACAGAAGCCTGATCATGGAGGAAAATGATTGCCTTGAGTCGATTGTGAGCGTTCTCGCCTCGGGTCTTACTTTGGAAGCTCAAGGAAACGCAGCAGCCACATTGTATAGTCTTTCCACAGTACATGAATATAAGAAACGGATCGCAAATGTAGATGGCTGCATCAAATCACTTGCATCGCTGTCGCGGAATGGAAAGCCGAGAGGGAAAAAAGATGCACTCAACGCTCTATATGGCATATGGTCACATCCAGATAATTGCAGCCAGATGATCAACTCGGGAGGAGTGTCCGCTATCGTGAGAGCTTTGGCGGACGAGGAAGAGGCAGTGACGGAGAGAGCGGCGGTAGTGTTGGGGGTAGTAGCGAATCATTCTTTAGGAGCAGAGACTATAGGGAGAGAGGAATCAGCTGTGGCTGGACTCATTGAATTGATGAGATGTGGAACACCAAGAGGCAAAGAAAATGCGGTTGCTACTTTGTTACATCTCTGCATAAATGGTGGGACGGTTGTGGTGGAGAAGGTGGTGAGAGCACCGGCTCTTTCTGATTTAACCCAAAAGCTTTTGCTCACGGGTACAAATCGGGCTAAGCGGAAAGCGAGTTCATTCCTCGCTTTGGTTTGTAAGGGGTGCGAAAACACAGCGATGATGTGGTCTGGTAATAGAGAAGGGAGTTTTAGAACCCATGTCTCCCTACCCATCTCTATACCTGTATCTGTTTTGTGATCTTACATACATATATATGCGCATAAGCCTTAGAGAATAATGTTGTTAATGGGGAAGGTATAAGAGTTTTGTTAAGCGATGTTTATGTATTGCCTATAAATATTATGTGATGTAATAAGCTATAAGTTTATTGATACAATCGGTTCTATAGCTTGTTTGTCTGAATGGAAACGCAAATGACAATTCGGTATGAGTCAAGTCATCTTCACTCTGGTAAAGAACAAATTGTATCTAAGACTTTTTTTAGGTCGCATCAATTTGTACAATGGTTTGCATCAAATTAGGTAAAAAAAGTGTATCTAAGACTTTGAATATTAATCTAAGTGTTTTCCATATGTTTTACATTACATTACATTAGATCGCTAGTAAGAGTTTTGCCAGAGCTGCTGCTGCTGCTGGGTTTGCTTTGAGGGCTGACCTTGCGAGCCACTATCCCTTGGGTTTTGCTGCTGCTGCTCCATTGACATTCCGGTTTGTGACTGATAGTAGTTTGGGTATCCATACTGCTGTTGCGCCTGTTGCGCCTGTTGCGCCTGTTGCTGAGCTTGGCGAACCTGCTGACTTTGTTGTTGTGCTTCAAGGTTGTAATATGTGTTGCTCGGGACACCCGACATGGTTTGAGAGCCAGGTCCATTTAGCCACATAGGAAAGTTTTCATTCTGAGATAAAACAGTTTCACGTTTAATGTCAAAACCAAATAACCAATATCTTTTGCAAGTGTCAAAATGAGAAACAATTACCTGTTGTTGTTGTTGTTGTTGTTGCTGCTGCTGTTGTTGTTGTTGTTGTTGCTGTTGTTGTTGTTGCTGTTGTTGTTGCTGCTGTTGTTGATGCTGCTGCTGCTGAAGATACAATAGATAGTTGTTCTGTTTGTATTGTAGACTCAGGGCGTCTTCATAACTAAATGTTGCCCCAATAGGAGCGACCTGTTGTTGGTTAAGAAGGAAGTTTCCGGCTTCAACATTGCTCGAGTTCCCAACTCCATAGGCAGAGGAGGAAGCAGGGGAAGTTGCTGACTGAGGCAAATTACTGGCGGAAATGTTGTTTTTATACTGTGGAAGCAGAGCAGCAAGTGACTGGTGGTATGAGTTGTTACCAGCAAATGCTTGCTGGAAAGTCGATGGAATGTACGGGTAGCTCTGAGGCATCAAAGGATAACTGATCATGTTGGCATAGTGAGTCAGAGGTAATGTGGGTTGAGAGTATGGATGCATTGCAATCTGTTGAGGAATTGCTGGTCCAGTTGCAATATTGGTACCGAGCAAGTTCTGCTGGCTTGACTGTGTTGTTGCAACACCACCACCACCTCTGAGTGCCTGCATGCAAGAAAATATAACCACAACACTCTAAATCAAACAATTTTTGTATATAATTTAATGAACTGGACTAACCATTCCACGTTCCTCTACTAATTACATAGAACACAAGAAAGAAACAAAAAATAGAAAAGAAATAAACCTTCACAATTTCAAGGGCACAAGAAAGAAACTAGACATTTAATTGAACGAATTTGAAATCATTATTTGCAAGAATTACTGCTTTTCATTAAGCGAACAAGAAAGTGGTCATGGTCCATGGATACAATTACAAGAGACCCCTAGTTTCTTCTCACGGAATTCCCAAAAAAAGCCCAAAGAAAGTAAAGCTATGCAATTTGATTAGAAGAAACATTTCAGTCTACAGGTAAAAGGATCACCTCTGGCATGGAAATGCTTTGGCCACCTGGTGAGGTATCATTACTTCTTGACGGCATAGACTGTACGCCTGGGAAAGAGGAATACTGAAGCTCAAGCTCCCTTGCACTCTGTGCTGTCTGTGCCAATAGAGTGTTTGGAATTGAGTTTGTATACCCTTGCTGAAACCAATGATTTATCATTAGCATCATACAGATCTACACAACTGAAACTACCTTTTCGATAAAAATTTAAACAGCGATCCATGTTAATAGATCTTTATAATATAAAAGGAGGTTCTCTTAAACTTGGACACTTAGGAAAGAGCTTACCATCACATTTGTTAATGAAGCAAGATGCTGCATCTGTTTAGTCATGCTTGTCTGTGAGGCATCAAATGCATTATCCAGCTGCTGCTTGGTATTTTCATATGCATAATCTGGATCCGACTGAGCAAACGAGTAATGGTTCTCCTGATGAGCGGTTTCAGGGTTTTCTGGCAACAAAACCTCTCGCTGAGATTCTGAAGAATCATCATAATTGTCAGCAGTAGACGCATGGACCATATGCCCATTGGACATGCTTCCTAGATGTTCATCTCCATAGAACTCCGAATTTCTGTGGACAAGACGATCAATTAATGGTGAGTATAAAGGAAACGAGCCCAGAAACTATTTGGAAAAGGAAAATCGGCAATGAGGGCATACCTAGCATCAGTATGTTCAATCTGTGGAGCTACATCAGAAGCCTCTTCTAAGCTGTTGCTCAAAGGCCTTGATCCAAAGCCTCCAAAACTTCCAAAGCTTAACTGTGAGCAATCTTCTGTATGAATTTGCAGATGATCTGGAATCACGACAGCAGGTCTACCATCATCATGAGAGGAGTATTGATCATGGCTCTCTATGCTAAAGTCTTGAAGGTTGGCAGCAACAGACAAAACTTCGTCTTCATCTGCAAAAGAATATTGGCCGAGTAAATAAGACAACATCAAGAGCAAACAAAATATATAGTCTAGTACTTTCACTAACCCCCGGCATCTAATATGATCAAGTTGCAGAGACAAATTCTTACCTTTCGGGTGCTCAACAGGGTTTTTCTGTGTTTGGTATCTATAAGGATTATCATCATACTCAGATGACACTCCAGAGTCATCTTCCTGAACAGCTCCACCAGCTACAGTGTCAGGCTGCACATGATCTCTTCCAAGATTCCCAAAGGGACCATTTTCTTTTAAATGTGTGTCTTCCAACTGGCCCTTTGGATATTGATCTCTTCTACTGGATTGTAAATCTGCTGGACTATTGCATATCTCTGACTCAGTTGGTGCTACTGATACAGAAGAAGTGGTAGCAGCCACTGGCTTCTCAATCGAGGGCCATTCATCTTTCACAAGTACATGTTGATTTGCAGCATTTTCATGCTCGGGATTTACCTCAGAACGCATATCGACATTTTTCTGAGAGTTTGATGTCTTGTTATGAGGTCTACCCATCTTCACAATGTCAGCCATAGACAGCTGACCTGAACCTCCAAACCATGCAGTTTGATGTCCAGTAACAGAATGTGATGATGATATTTCACCACCCGAGGTAACAGTTGGCGTTTTACTTTCTTTAGCAACAGAATCACTGCAAAATATACATAGCATACATGAGCAACCTGAGACTCGAATGTACAGATGCACAAAACTATAATTATCAAAGATGCAGAAGTAGGAAAACTACATTAAGGAAAAGTGGAATATGGCACAACAAAGTAAGGTCTAGACACCTTTCACTAGAGGTGCAAGATTTTTTCATAAAAACTTTATATACAAGTACATACATTTTCACTTTGTTAAAAACTTTCACTGTTTCTACCAAATCAAACATCAACTGTACATGGAAGATTGCTTAGCATCAGCATAATACTTTTAAATATTATCTTTTTTTTTTTTGTCATCACTTTTAAATATTATCAAAAGGTAGTATTCAAGACTCGAGATGATAAACTAAGATTACTCTGTACTTCTACCACTGACCCTTAGGCCACCTAAATACTTCAAGCCATTCAGAGTCAGAATCAACTAAGGCTCTATTTATCAGTGTAGCCACTCTGCATTAGTTGGTCTGAAAGCCTAATAACTAAATCCTACCAACTCAATCATTTAAGCTACTGACTTGTCCAGTTGCATTCAACTTGTTAAAAAAAGAGAAAAAGAGATCACAGAATAGTATCAAAATACATTGGAACGGCAGAAGAAAGTTTTTTTTTTAAACACACAGTTGCTGATCCTAATCACATTCATTGCTTAATGCTTCAACTATGGGCCACAAGCTAATTCTACTGCAGAGGAGTATCCGATGCTGCTTGTTTTCAGAAAGAACGTCATTTCTCTGCCACATATGTAGGTGGGGACAAGAAAACTCGCATCTCTGCAGAGAAATAGCATCCTTCTGAAGACCAGCAGTACAGGATATTGTTGAGGCACTAAACAAAAAGAATGAATCTGATTATAATCAGCACATAGACTTTTTCGTGTGTTCTTTTCAGACAGTCCTAAGATATTTTCTTCTGTTGTTTATATATGGATTTTGATACTACCCTATGATCTTTATTTATGCCATATCATGGTCTCTTTCCTTCAGACAGGGTCATGTTTTTTCATTACGCTTGCTGCATCATGCAGCTATGCAGACAAGAAAAATGAACTGATCATTCAAAGGAAAACCTGTGTGGTATCTGATGGTGGCTCGATATGCCAGACGTAGAAGAATAAGAACCTGCATGAGTCTGCATCCCGCTCTCCCTCTTGTTAGTAGTTTTTCCTTGGAAGCTTCCTGAGTCTGAACAATAGAAACATGAGGACAGGGATTCACAGCTAGAATTAAGTAAGTTACATTCTAGAGGCAAAAAGCCATGTATAATATACCATTAGAGCTGAAAGGGGTGGCTCCATTTCGTCCAGCATAACGATCAGAACCACCTCTAATCCCATGGTTGTAATTGTTACTATAGCCTCGTCGGCGGGAATCCGGTATATCCCTAATCTGAACAGCAAGTAAACATATAAACTCTCCGAAATTAAAACAAAAATGAAATGTAAACTAACTGAAACCAAAACGGTATCTAGGATCAAGTATTCAGGCCGGTGGCATCAATCACATGATTTCAGCATAAAAGCTTGAGAACAGAGGTGCAAAGTGTATTACTCAGTTTCAAATTTAAAATGCCAACAAAGGACACAAAAACATATGATCATACCTCTTTCTTCTTTTCTTTTTTGCTCTTCACCTCGTGAAAAGGATCTGATTCAGTATCATGGAAAGACATTAGCGAAAGCAATCATCCGAAAATGATAGAGCTACACAAGAGTATAAAATTGAAGGCAAAATGGCTTATCAGCTCAACGAGAAGGACTAAACGCTGAAAAGACAAAAACTTTATGAGAATCTAATGAAAACCCCCAAACCTAAACCTAAACCTAATCAACACAAAATCTCAGTAACCCTT